TTATTCAAGAGACTCATTCTTCTCTTTTACAGTCGCAAGTTCTTCAAGCACTTCTTCAAACAACTTGGTTTGCTTCTGAGCCACACTCTCCCATCTCAGATTCTCATCCTTGAGCTTCAACCACTTGTTGAGCAGCACGTGATACTCCTCATCATTTGTACTGCGATCTGACACCGAGGATTCACTAGCTGCCTCTTTGCGTGCACCAAATGCAACCATATACTTCACCACCTTTTCATCTTCTTCAGAATCTGAATCATCAGACGACTGTACTGCTTTTCCCTTCTTTGAGTTTGGACATTCATGCCTTGTGTGTCCAACACCTCTACACTCAAAACACTCAAATTCTTTTCGTTATGCGATAAGACAGTCAGCCCTCACATGACCAAATCCTTCGCACGCGTAACACTTGATACCTTCTCTTCTTCTACCATTGCCACGATCACGTCCTTGACGACCATACTGATTTCTTTCACCAGAGTGACTCGTCCTACCAAAATTCCTAGCCAACATACTCACAGTATTTTCAAGCTTCTGGAATCTATCACCATCCTTGTCAGCTGCAAGCGCTATACTCCCTGGCGACTGCTTGACATAGAGACTGAACTACTGTCTGTCTCCATCTCTTGTGCCTTCAGCATACCCACAAGCTTATCAAACTTGAGCTCATCCGTGTTTGTAGTCATCTGCAAGTCTGCCTTGTGAGTTTTAAACTTCCTTGGAAGACAGCGTAGTAACTTATTTACCAGCTTCTTCTCCTTGTACTTCTTCCCAAGTACAAAAGCTTCATGCACCATAACACTAAGTTTGGCACTAAAGCTCGCCACAGAATCAACATAAGACCATCTGAGATTCTCACACTGCGACCCAAGATGATATAGGCATGTCCTCTTGACACACTCATCTCCCTTAAACGAATTCAGCAGGATCTCCCACGCCTCTTTAGCTGAAGTACTCCCTTGAATCAACTGGAACAGCTCTGCTTCAACTCCAAACATCACTGACAACGCATTTGCTTTATATTTTGATACATTGCGCTCTGCCTCTGACCAATCTTCTTTTGGGTTGGGTTTCTTCTCATCTCATGTGACTATGGTAGGCTCCTCCCAACCACTCTCCACAGCTGTCCATGCATCTTCATTGATTCCTCGAATCATCTGCTTCATGTGAGCCTTCCAATGACCATACTGGTCCGCGTTCAACACAATTGCCTTCTGCACTGAAATAATCGTGTCCATCTTCACCTTCCCGATTACACCGATAACTTAGGTGCCCCGCTCTGATACCAATTGTACGTGCAAGAGACAAAACAATACAAGCAACAACAATGCTTTATTAGAATATCCTTTAAACAATCTATTACAAGATCTGCTTATTCAGATTTTACACGTCTAATGTTAACACCCTAACACACGTCACTGAAAGCTTACCCAAGAGTGCTAGGTTGAAAGCTTCCAAGTCCTTAAAAAACCCAGTCCCCCACACTCCTTCGGTTTACACAAACTATCCCAACTCTTCCATTACATACCCCACTTCTCCTGGTTATTCCTCCACCAAAATTCCGCCATAAAAGTCATTATCTGCTTACACACTGTTTCTGGAATTAGGAAGCACGCCATTGTATACGTTGGAAGAGCCATCGCTACTGCTTTGAGAAGCTTTTCTTTGCCCGCCGGTGAGAGAAATTTTGTCTGCCATCCATGCACTTTTTTGTTTAGGTTCTCCTTTAGATATGATAAGATAGAGACCTTTGAACCACCAAAAGACTCCGGCAGCCCCAAATAAATTCCTTCTCCACCTGTTTGCTCAATTCCCAACTTCCTTTGAATCACTTCTCTTCTACTTGTTGGGATGTTTTTCCCGAAGTAAACACTTGACTTCTGGTAGTTAATCCGTTGCCCTGATGCTAGACTATATCTCTGTAGTAAACCGATCAAGCCATCAAGTTCCTCATCGGTCGCTTTGCAATACATCATACTATCATCGGCGAATAATAAATGAGATACCGGTGGAGCTCTCCTTGCAACCCTTAGACCTGATAGTCTTCTTTTGCTCTCCGCCAGTTTCAACATCTGAACAAGTACTTCAGAACAAATAACAAAGAGATAAGGGGAGAGGGGATCCCCCTGTCTCAATCCTCTCGTGGGTCTGATACTTCTGTAGGCTTCACCCTTGACCAGCACTTGGTAATGGACTGATAAGACACAACTCATAATGAGATTTCGCCAAACTTCTTAGAACCGAGAGCGTGCATAGCTCGATTCAGAAACGCCCACTCCACACGATCGTATGCTTTGGAGATGTCCGTTTTATGGCAATATACTCCTTGGAACATTTATTATCTGAATTGAGCGTATGGAGGAGTTCGTGTGCGACGAGTATGTTATCGAATATCAATCTTCCCTCAACGAAAGCTGCTTGAGTTTCTGAAATGATACCAGGCAGAACCTTCTTCAATCTTCTTGCCATCAGTTTGGATACTATCTTATAGGCCACGCTGCACAGGCTGATTGGTCGATATTCACACATTTTCTTTGCGGTCAATGTCTTTGGGATGAGGCCTATGTTTGTATTATTAATACCCTCCTCCAGCCTTCCTGTGACAAAGAAGCTCTGCACCATCTGTGTTATATCATCGCCGCTTGTTTCCCAAAACTGTTGGTACAAAAATCATGTTTTCTTTGTAACCTAAAAACAAAACAGAAAAACAAAAATATTTAATATGAAAATTATTTTGCAAAAAAAAAAAGAAAACTTGTTACAAAACCCATGCCCTACATTAAGTTTCATGCTATTAAGGTTTTCATTTTTCTATAATAATGAAAAACTCTGATCGAAAACTTTTTTAGGCAAGGGCATTTTACCCGGACCCGAAGACCCGAAAATATCCGACTCAAATCCAACTCAGAAATTTACAAGTACTTATTGGGTCTAAATTTCTTTTACCCAAATAGACCCGGACCCGAAAAGAACCGACCCGAATAGACTCGACCCGATAAGAACCGATTTGTACCCGACTTATAAACATGTATATCCAAAACTATTATTTTTGTGTTATGTTTTATATATCTATACTATTTTATAATTTAGTTGAAATATCTTTTGTTAACAATATATTTGTAACATTTTTAAGTAATATAAAGTTTTAAAATGTAAAATTTAGAGTTTAAAAATGTTTTCTTTAATTATTAATAGTTTAATTTAAGTTATTTTATAAAATTTTAGATATATATGAAAAATATTAACTGAATTTGAGTGTGTTGCATGTTATGTATTTTTTAGATTCTAAATACCTGGACCCGATCCAGACCCGATATGGATCCGAAAATTATAGATATTTAGGTATTAGAATTATAGACCCAAACCGACCCGGACCCGGACCCGGACCCGGCAAGACCCGACCTGAAACCGACCCGAAAAATCATAGGTACCCATATAGGTCTAAATTTCCAAGACCCGAAAGGCCCGGACCCGACAGGACCCGACCCGAACCCGACCCGAGGACCCGGAGGCCCATGCCTAACTTTTTTATTATCTTTGGGTGTCCCAGATCTATGAAATGGCCAGATTAAAGGGAAGTGTGATTAGACCTGGGCAAAAAAATCAACCAGAAAACCGAACCAAATTCAATCCAAAAAATAATATCGAATCTGAACTAAAATTAATTAGATATCTTAACTGGTATAAATTGTGGTATTTAGGCAGAATATTTTGGATATCCAAATATATCCGAATCATATTTATATACTTAAATATATCAGCTATTTTTTTATTTAGTAGCCAAAATTGTATCTAAAATGTATAAGATATTCAGAAGTTGTCCAAAATGTTTAAAAATATATACAAATAATCAAAAGTAAATATCTAAAATAGCTTAACAATATTCAAAACACCGAAAATACTTAAAATATTTAGTGATTCTCCATTCAAATATTCAAACCAAACTAAATTTTATGTTCAGTTTAGATATTTTGGCGTACAATACTCAAATTTTTATATGTTATATTTCAGTTTTATTTTTAGATTTTGAGAAATTTAAAATATATATATGAATTTTAAAATTTTAAAAATAATATAAATGGATTATCCGAACCCGATCGAACGCACAAAGATGCGAACCGAAATTTATAAATACCCGAATAGGAGCCGAATCTTTAACTCCGAAACTCAAATAGATATGAACCAACCACGAATGGATACCTGAACACCCATCCCTAAATGTGATCCACGAATGGATTTTCTTAACTGGTATTAAAATTGAATCTAAGCAATGGACTTATATCTGTGTGACCACATAATAGAAGGTAGTGGAATGTCTTCAGACTCAGGTAGCAACCTGAATCCCTGCCATTAAACCATCACATGGTTAAAATATAACTTGCTTCCAATTTATAACAATATTTAAAATTTTCCTAAATTTGTAGGAAAAAGGTATCACCAATATCCCGTGAATTCAAATCAGGGTGTTCTCATGAATACAAATCTACATTTCTTTTTGTTTCACGAATTTCAAATCTTTCATCAAAAGTATGGGATTTGAGTATCAGAGATTGTAGTTTATTATCAGTTATAAAAAGTTTATAAGAGTCTTGAGCATAGTAAAAATAAAACTATTAGATGTAAATTTTCATAAATGGGCTTAGTATAATGTAAATATAATCATCACATGTAAATCCCCATAATTCATATATATAATTATCCGTTATAAATTCATTGACATAAAAAAAATCATAATTTTGATTGCATGACAAATCGGTGTTAAAAAGATCACATCTACTTTTATCTTATTGGAAAACAAAAGTCAACCTTATATAAAGCACTTATCAACATAAAACCCTGAAGACATAATAATACAAACACTTTAAATAAATAAGGTTATACATAAACATCATCTTCAAAGTAACAATGATAGTAAATGTTTTTATTACAACTGTTAGTTGTATCTGTATATGGTTGTCAAAGGCCGCGTTAACATCAATTCATAAATAACCTTAACAATTTTTAGATATCCCTTGATTCTCTGCCTTGTTCATCCACCCGCCTCATCAATATCCAAAACAAAAACAAAACTAAAACAGAGATCCTCCATGTCGGACATCGACATCGGAACCGCAGCAGGAGGAGGAAAAAGAGAGCCGCTCATCAACCGTGAAAACAAGTTCACGCGTTGTGTCTCACACGCGCAAGACGAGCTCCAGAGTTTCCGGAAATATCTGAGATGGATGTGCGTGGATCAGTCGAGTCCTTGGACGGCTGTTCTTTCTTGGTCGATGTTCATCGTTTTCACGCTCGTGGTCCCGGCCACGTCTCACTTTGTCATCGCTTGCGCTGACTGCGACAGCCACCACTCGAGGCCGTATGATTCTGTGGTTCAGCTTTCTCTAAGCAGCTTCGCTGCTCTTTCTTTCCTCTGTCTCTCAAGATTCATCAGCAAGTATGGTCTCCGAAGGTTCCTCTTCTTCGATAAGCTTTGGCATGAGAGTGAGACAGTTCGCCAAGGCTACACCAACCAGCTCAACGTGAGTTTTTTTTTCTTTCTTTTTGCTCATTTTCGGTTCCAAGTTTCTTAATTTCACATTCTTGATTGGTTTCTTGATATAGGGGGCCATAAACATTTTAAGATGAATCTTATTACTAAAAGTAATTATTTAGACAATTTAATAGTTTTTTTTATTCAAGACAATTTGATAGTTTTAAAACCTATGTACAATGGCTTTTTTATTTATGGAGGGCAAGACCAATGTTTTATCGGGTTTGATCAGGACTAGCCTTGTTCATACCTTAACTGTTATGTCCAATTTGGATCTGTTTTTTTTCTGAAAAGTTGGAATCTGTGTTTTCTGTGTAAATCTTGAGAATCTGAAAAAACTGAAAATGGTGGTGTAAATAATGAACTACAGTAGTATGAATCATGAAGATCTCTTTGTTTACTTGCTTCACAAGTATTACAGTGTGTTTTGCTTTTGTTTATATAAGACATGTATATAGTTGTGTTCTGAAGTCAATCAACTCTTTGTTATGCAGAGATCGCTAAAGATTCTCTCCTACTTCGTCACTCCTTGTTTCTTAGCTATGAGCGCATACAAGATATGGTGGTACGCTTCAGGCGCTTCTCGGATTCCATTCCTCGGTAACGTTATCTTGAGTGATACAGTCGCTTGTCTGATGGAGATCTGCTCGTGGCTCTACCGTACTACCGTGATCTTCCTAGTTTGTGTCCTCTTCCGTCTCATCTGCCACCTTCAGATCCTTAGGCTCCAAGACTTTGCTCAGGTCTTTCAGACGGATTCAGATGTTGGTACCATCTTGACTGAACATCTCCGCATCAGACGTCACCTGAGAATCATCAGCCACCGGTTCCGGACCTTCATTTTGTTTTCATTGATTCTTGTCACTGGAAGTCAGTTTTACTCTCTGCTTATTACCACTACGTCTCGTGCTGAATTGAATATCGTCAAAGCTGGAGAACTCGCAGTAAGTTCTGTTTTTGTTTCACTTTCTATTGGATCTTGATGTCTTCTTTAACTCTTTGTGATCATCTCAGCTATGTTCAGTGACTCTGGTCACTGCGCTGCTCATTCTACTAAGAAGTGCCTCAAAGATCACACACAAGGCTCAGGCGGTGACTTGCCTTGCTGCAAAGTGGCATGTCTGCGCGACAATAGAATCCTTTGAGGCAGTGGAGGGAGGGTCTCCAAGGTTAAATGATAAATCAAGCGGACAAGGGTTCAGTTCAAAAGATGTTGATACTGGAGATACAGATGACAGTGAGGACTATGGAGATGAAGAAGATGATTTTGATAACAATGATCTCATCCCTGCTTATGCTTATAGCACCATATCATTCCAAAAACGCCAAGCTCTAGGTAACATATATACATACACATCAAATCTCATATATTCTTCACATCTTTAGTTATCTTTAATCATTGTTGGATTTTGCAGTGAATTACTTTGAGAACAATAAAGCAGGAATCACTGTGTTTGGGTTTACACTTGATAGAAGTACTCTACATACAATATTTGGGATTGAAATGTCGCTTGTTCTTTGGCTTTTGGGTAAGACCATTGGGATTTCTTGAATCATTCTTTGATCCCTTGTTGTATGATATTTTTACATATGTGTACACAGTGGCTCTTTGTAAAGTATGACATTTACTAATTTTTATTTTGTAATTGTAAATCATCTTGTTTCAGCCAGTAAATTAGATTGGTCTTTAGAAATTTCTTGCATTTGTATCTCTGGGCTGTAGAAAGTTAATATGAAAATGATTTTAGTCAATGTTCTAAGTAGGCCTGGGAATTTTACCCGGACCCGAAGACTCGACCCGAAACCGAACCGAAAAAATCTGGTCCGGGTAGGAACCGGCCCGATCAAATTACCCTATCGGGTCTTGTTGTGGAAGACCCGCGGGTCTTGGATCCGACCCGGACCGAACCCGAAACCCGATGGGTACCCGAATTAATAGTGTAAATTATATAAAATGTATTGAGGGGGAGTCGAAGACGGATTGTTTCCATAGAGAGTAAGGGAGTCAACAACTAGGAGACAACGAATTGTTGTTGTATTTCGCATAGTTTAATATATATACACATTTTAATATAATAAAAACACAAATTTTGAATAAAATTTTGAATATTTTCGGATATATAAATATTTTCAGATATTTTTTTATATATTTAGGTATTTTTTAGGTCGAACCCGAACCGAACCCGACACGGAACCGAACCGAATCCGAACCGATAAATTTTAATTACCCGAATGGGTCCAACTATCTAAGACCCGACCCGACCCGGACCCGGTACGACCCGAACCGAACCGGAACCGAAAATTCGAAATTACCCTATTGGGTCCTAAAATCCTAGACCCGAAAGACCCGGACCCGAAAGGACCCGACCCGAACCCGACCCGACTACCCGAATGCCCAGGCCTAGTTCTAAGCTCAAAAAATGGGCAGAGTATAGTTTGAGAGTCTGAGAGAGGCAAGAGACGACATGGCAGAGGAAAACAAAAACACAGACAAAAACAAAAGGGCAAATGATCCCATAGTTCCACCAAGACCACATGCTCCCTGATGTCGGTTGAATCCAAATCCCAGTCGACCTAACCGTAAACTGGACTTGATTCGAAAGCCAAACCAATTCTGCATGTGCATCTAAAGCATCACCACAAGAGTTGATAGGAAAATACTATTTTGAAAAGCCCAATATTTTGAAAGCCCATATTTTATTACAAGACCTAATAAGACAAGCTCGTGGATACAGATATGGAAGAGGGTTACATTTGTAAATTCTAAAGTGTGAGCAAATGGAAGGACAACAGATTGCTCGGCTTTTCTGACAATATTCTCTCACTTATTATAGTTTCTGCTCCTCCTTCTCCTCTCTCAGACCAACCCAAAAGATTTTATTTTTAATTTTTTTTGTAAATTATTTATTTCCATATTTTATCAATAAAAGAAAAAGACTTTTAAGGAAAGTAAAAAACAATTTGGACCAATCTATACTATATAAAAGTTGAGGCTATAAGCCATTGAGGACGTCCACGTAGGATTTAAGTCCTCCAATCGTATAATGACACATCATTATATTAGTTTATTATTTTTATAAAATGTTACTGTTTCCAAATTATATTAAAAATGAAATTAATATTCCATATATAATTTAAATAACAAAATAAATATTAACATTTTACAAATGACATAAAAATGTTAACTATTATAAAAATGGAAAATCAAAAATAAACGTAGTATTAACAAAACATTATTGTCTTTTTAGATATACTAAATGTAAAGTATTATTTTTAGAAAATGTTAATGTTTCCAAATTATATCAAAAACGAAATTAATATTCCATATATAATTTAACTAAAAAAATAAATATGAAAATTTTACAACTTATTTAAAAATATTAACTGTTATAAAAAAATTGAAAAAAAATA